GGAGAGAGAACAGAGAGAAGAGAAGAGAGAGAAGAGAACAGAGAGAAGAGAAGAGAGGAGAGAGAACAGAGAGAAGAGAAGAGAGGAGAGAGAACAGAGAGAAGAGAAGAGAGGAGAGAGAACAGAGAGAAGAGAAGAGAGGAGAGAGAGATGCACAACAAGAGAGAGAGAAGAGAGAGAACAGAGAGAAGAGAAGAGAGGAGAGAGAGATGCACAACAAGAGAGAGAGAAGAGAAGAACAGAGAGAAAGAGAAGAGAGGAGAGAGAGAGAGAGATGCACAACAAAAGAGAGAGAGAAGAGAGAGAGAGGAGAAGAGGAGAGGAGGAGAGAGAGATGCACAAGGAGAGAGAAAAGAGAAGAGAGATGCACAGTGAAAGAGAAGAGAGAAAGAGAGGAGAGGAGAGAGAGAGAGAAGCACAACGAGAGAGAGAACAGAGAGGAGAGGAGAAAAGAGAGGAGAGAGAGAGAGAGATGCACAAGGAGAGAGAGAGAGAGAGAGAGAGAGAGGGAGAGATGCAAAAGGAGTGAGAGATGAAAAAGGAGAGAGATAGAGAGAGAGAGAGATGAGAGAGAGAGGAGGAGAGAGAAAGACGCAAAAGGAGAGAGAGGAGAGAAGAGGAGAGGAGGAGAGGGAGAGGAAGGAGGGAGAAAGAAAAAGGAGGGAGAGAGAGGAGGAGAGAGAGAGAGATGTAAAAGGTAAGAGAGGGGGATGAAGGGAGGCAGAGAGAGAGGAGAGATGAGAGGAGGATGAAAGAGAGAGAGAGAGGAGATGGAGATACAAAAGGAGAGGGAGGAGGGATAGAGAGAGAGAAGGGGGAGAGGGAGGGAGAGAGGTGAAGAAGAGAGAGAGACAGAGGAAGGAGATGAAAGGGGGATGAAAGCGAGAGAGAGGAGAGAGAGGGAGGGGGATGAAAGAGAGAAGAGAGAGGAAGGGAGATGAAAGAAGAGACGCAAAAGGAGAGAAGGAGGGTGAAAAAGGGGGAAGGTAGAAGGAGCGAGTGAGAGAAAAGAGGAGAGAGAAAGGAGAGATACAAAAGAAGAGAGAGACAGAGAGAGAAATCGAAAGAGGAAGAGAAGGATGAAACACAAAGAGAAAAGAAAGCAAAAGAAAGGAGAAGAAGGACAGAAATTAAGAGACACAGATAGAGAAATGGAGAAAGAGAGAGAAAGACAGAGAGAATAATAAAAGAGGTAGAGAGAGAAAGAGGGGAGAGGTGGAGGGTAAAAGGTTAAACATGACACGAGATCAAATGAGGCTGAACAGTGCAGAGGCAGAAACAGGCATCAGTCCATTCACTTTAGATTATTTTATCACAATATTTACACTTTAGAAAACAGAACAATGAATAAAAAGACACGTGCAGCGCAACTTTGAACTAAAACAACTCTAAAATTTACAGTTTGACAAAATCTGACACTAAAATTCAGTATTTTTTGAGAATCTAATGTAATAAATGTCGTCAATATTCACTTATATCGGCTATAATTTTGTTTTTTTTAAGTAAATTTAGCTTCATTAATAATGTTTGTGAGGTAAAACGTGACTGAAAACTGTAATAAATAATAAAAATAATCGTAAACTATAAGAAAAATTAAAGGTGCACTATGTCACGTTTGCTTGTCTCCATGGAGATGTTATAAATGCATCACGAATCTCGGACTTCCGGTCATCGCGTAATCCACACTGGGAAGGGTTTCCTGAAAAAATGAACATCAAACCGCCATGTTTGTTTTCCCAGTGGGACGTGTCTATTGTCAAAGTCGATCTTTTCAAGTCTTTTGAACCGTATGGCTTTTGTTTCTGGTTCTGATATTGTCATGTTTTAGTTTTGGGATTTGGACATCATAATTGTGTGGTTGTTGGATCCTAACACGGCGGAAAACGACTCGAGAAATTTGTTTACGAACTCCATAAATGCAAAAGTGAATCAGATGTGTGTGACTCAAACCTCTGTTCAAACTGTTTCTCTTCCCAACGGAATTAAAAAATAGTGAAAGGTGAAGGTGATGGGCAGGATTGATCCACAGGAAGAACCAAAAAGGAAAACTTTGACTGACTAAGAAATCATCCAGAGTTTGTAGAGAACATTTTGTATGTGGAGCGACGACAAAACAAAATCCCAATCCATCGCTCAGCCTCAGTTACGAATTTAAAAAGTCAACGCCAAAGTGAAAGGCACCAACTGTTCACCAAGAAACACCTTCCACTGCAAAGAGACCAAGACGTGATGTTGCTGTAAAACCACAAGAACAAGAAAGTGCAGCTCAGTCTGTTTGTCTTCTGCTCCTCTCACCTAACAAACGGGATTTTGTTTTGTTGTCGCTCCACATACAAAATGTTCTCTGCAAATTCAGGATGATTTAGGCCACGGGTGTCCAAACTTTTTTCATCAAGGGCCACATTTCTAAACACAGATGAAGCAGAGGCTGATCGAGGGCTGTAGACTGGAGCTCAATACAGTGAATAATTAAAATATGTGCATGTTTAACACTTAAATGAGCCATCAGTCTTTATTCACTCTAAAATCCTCAAACCATCAAACCACACATTAAATCTTCAATATTTGCAAAGTAGATTTTCAAAAAACTTGCGGTAAAAAAGTTCATTTTTAATTGATGCAAGGTAACTTGGGCCAAATCACCTGGAAGCCTGAGGGCCAAGAAAAATTTATCCGAGGGCCGCATTTGGTCCACCGGCCATAGTTTGGACATGCCTGATTTAAGCAGTCAAAAGTTTCCTTTTTGGTTCTTCCTGTGGATCAATCCTGCCCATCGACTTCACCTTTCACTATTTTTCAATTCCATTGTGAAGGGAAACAGTTTGAACACAGCACGGTGGCTGAGTGGCTAGCACTCATGCCTCACAGCAAGAAGGTTCTGGGTTTGATCCCCAGGTCGCCCAGGGCCTTTCTGTGTGGAGTTTGCATGTTTCTCCCTGTGTCTGGATGGGTTTCCTCCGGGTGCTCTGGTTTCCCCCATCAACCCAAAACATGCTCCAGGTCTCCAGAACAGTTGATAGTCAAGGTCAGTTAAATACAATCAATCAATGAACCTGTCCAGGGACGACAGGTGCAAATTAGCACTGATGCTACAACCTGATGTACAATGCATCTCTCCTGTCAAGGTTAATGCGAAAATTGTGTGCTGTCCCTGTCTCAAATAAATAAATAAATAAATAAACAGAGGTTTCACACATCTGATTCACTTTTGCATTTATAGAGTTCACAAACACATTTCTCGAGCTGTTTTCTGCTGTTTGGATCCAACAACCACACAATTTTTTTTTCACAACAAATTTGCATTCACAACTCCACGTACTGTACATATAAGAGACAAAATATAAATTAAAACAAACAAAACTCAATGTACAATTCATCAACTCCAGAGCTCCATATTTTCCAAAACACAAGAGTCTATACAAGGTTCATAGATTTCTAGATTTCAAGATTTCTACAGTGTTGAATTGTTTGAAGTCATTGCGCCGAATATTTTACAAACCAAAGTCTCTACCAGAAATTTCTTTCTTCCTCATTCTTATTATTATAATTTTTTTAAATATATATATATATATATATAAATATTTACCCCCCCGTTTATGGTCGTACAAACGAATAATAATATTAACAAAGGCTAAAAGTTTTTCGTTTATGATCGTGCGAAACAAACAACGATAAGAATGAAAGAATATAAGGATTATTTGTTTTTCGTTTATGGATCGTACAAACTAATAATAATGTTAACGAAGGCGAAAAAGTTTATCGTTTATGATCGCGCGAGATAAAGTACAATGAGAATGAAAGAATGTGGCAATTAACGACGTCCGAATTCCAAAAAACTAAAACATGACGATATCAGAACCAGAAACAAAAGTGATATGGTTCAAAAGACTTGAAAAGATCGACTTTGACAACAGACACATCCCACTGGGAAAACAAACATGGAGGTTTGACGGTCACTTTTTTGGAAAACTCTTCCCAGTATGAATTGCGCGACGACCGGAAGTCTGAAATTCCTGATGCGTGTATAGATTTGTCTAGAATGTTCCACAGTACGACTTTAAACTTATTTATCTTACATTTATTCAAATACAGTTGCTTTTATTGCTTATAAAAACATCTAGTTTGATGAAGTCACCTCATAATACTGCGGAACATTCCAGGCAAAACAGAAAAACTCCATAGTGCGGCTTTAATGAGACTAACTGTGAAGCTATTGTGTGTACAGATTTTTTTTTGGAAACTAATAAAAATATAATAACAAAACCAAAAAATTCTACTGAAAATAAACTGTCAGAATAAAAAACGGGTGTAATTTTTAGCAGTAATGTTCCGTATTATTTTATTCGGAGCCTGTTGAAGTTATAACCTGTAACTCATGCACGACAGCGGTTAGTAAAACATTAATTTTTTGCAAGCAGGATTTTGACCCAAGGCTAAGACATCCACAGAGTAAATGCAGGAGGAAGAAGAGGAGGAGGAGGACAGAGTTTTCAGGCAATTTTAACAAAAACAGGCATAAGAAATTTAAGGATAGACAAAAGAAGGACATATGCTACAGGCTAACGCGCTAATGCAAGCTAACACGAGCTAAAGAGGCTAACGAGGCTGCAGGGAAAAGGTCAAATTTTGTTTTAGTTTTAGTCTGGATATTGGTCCATGTAAATCAGGCATAACATTAAGAGTGAAACAGGACTAAACCAGGACTAAACCAGGACTAAAACAAGTCTAAACTAGATCTAAACTAAGACTAAACTAGGACTAAACCAGGAATAAAGATTAATAACAAAGGTCCAAACCAGGATTTAACAGGATCTAAACCAAAGGACTATAGTAGCTTCAGTCCGTCTTAACCAGGTCTAACCTTGGACTAAATCAAGTCTAAACCGGGACTACACCCAGACTAAATCTATCCAAGGACTAAACTAGGAAACTAATTTATTGAGGACTCACTCAGGACTAAATCAGGTCTAACCCAGGTTGAAATCATGACTAAACCAGGACTAAACCACATGTAGTTCTAAACCAGGACTAAACAAGGTCTGACCAAAGATGTAAGAAGGTATAAACCAGGTCCAAACCAGGACTAAACCAGTTCTAAACCAATTCTAAACTAGGTCTGATCCAGTATTTCAGTATGTATAAACCAGGACTAAACCAGGACTAAACCATAACATATTTGATCAAACTCAGTCAAATCCTAACTTCAGATTTAAGTAGGAATAAACCAAGCCTAAACCAGATCTAAACCAGGAATAAACAAGGACTAAACCAGGTCTGACCAAGAACCTAAGTGAGTATAAACCAGGTCTAAACCAGGACTAAATCAGGACTCAACCATAACATATTTGATCAAATCCTAACTTCAGATTTAAGTTGGAATAAACCAAGACTAAACCAAATCTATACCAGGTCTAAGCCAGAACTAAACCAGGTCTGACCAAGGACTTAAGTGGGTCTAAACCAGGTCTAAACAATGACATATTTGATCAAACTCAGTCAAATCCTAACTTCAAATTTAAGCAGGTATAAACCAAGACTAAACCAGGTCTAAACCAGAATTAAACCAGGTCTGATCAAGGACTTAAGTGGGTCTAAACCAGGTCTAAAACATAACATATTTGATCAAACTCAGTCAAACTCTAACTTCAGATTTAAATAGGAATAAACCAAGACTACACCAAATCTAAACCAGGTCTGACCAAGAACTTAAGTGGGTCTAAACCAGTTCTAAACCAGGTCTAAACCAGGTTTAAACCATAACAGATTTGATCAAACTCAGTCAAATCCCAACTTCAGATTTAAGTAGGTATAAATTAAGACTAAACCAGATCTAGACCTTCAAATTTTAATCAAACCCACTCAGTTACTAATCTTAATGTTATGCCTGCTGTAAATGGGTAAAACAGCGCTCCTGGTGGTGACAGATAGTATTACACTGCCTAAAAATACCTAAACAACTCTTTTACTTTATATTTTACTCTATATTTTGTTTTTACCTCTGTGGAAAAGGCTTATAATGACACTTTTAACTCATATTTGATTTAATATGTTTGTTTTTTTTACCTGTGGGGAAGAAGGCGGGCTGCTGGAGCTGTGCGTTGGCCAGGGCTTGCTGATAGTGCAGAACATTTGGGTTGAACAGAGACGAGGCTCCGTTGGTTTTGTCCAGCGCTGGTCTCTTTGGTAACGGCTGCAGGACCCCGTGTGGAAACGCCTAAAATACACACACACACAAAAAACAAAAAAAACAAAAAAAAAAACAATACAGAACAGTTAAGACGTCAGTTACAGCTGGATTAGTGGTAATAAATGTGTAATAACAGTTAATAGCACGACACAATATCTATGGAAACGTCATGACAGGATTGAATAAGGTGTGTTTATAATATGTTTACAATTAATTAAAATAATACTCAAATTATCTATGAGGTAAAACTAGTCATGTAAAATAAATTGGATTATTTGTTATAAAAATTAAGGATTTTACTATTTTTATAATAATAATTTGTAACTATTTTAACTTATGGACAAAAATCCACAAGTCGCCAAAATAATTGTTATTATTATTAACAACAACAATAATAATAATAATAATAATAATAAAACAAATAAAATATAAAAGATAATATACTAAAATAAATAAAAATATAATAATAATAAGAATAACAGTATAGTAGTAATAATGAAAAAAATAAAAAAATATATATAAATAAGTAAATAAATAAATAAATAAATAATAATAATAATAATAACAATAATTTATTTTGGTATATTTATTATTTATATTTATTTATTATTACTAATATATTATTATTATTATTATTATTAATAATAATAATAATAATAATAATAATGTTTAAGAAAATTAGATATCAAAATAATTAGATCTCTACCTAACACAACAAGTACTACTACTACTACTACTACTGCTGCTAAGTAAGTACTTTCTGTCAACTATTACAGCAAATAAATTACGATTAAAATAGTAAACAAAGGATGAAAATGCTAATGTATAAGCCAGGCTAGGCTAGGCTAGGCTAGGCTAGGCTAATTTACCGCTACAAATAATAATAACTACAATAAATTTGCTAATAAAACTTAATAAATAGTAAATAATAATTATAAATAAAGCAATTTTGCGAATAGTAAAATGTAAATAAAACAGTATTAAATTGTAAATATGTCATGAGCACACCTTATTCAAATGGAAATAGCCGTAACTAGCACAAGAGACAATGGAACAAAAAAAACAAAAAAAACAAAAACTACATTCCAAAAAAATTAGCATTAGCAGTTAGCCAAACGTAAAACTGAGCGCTGCGAGTGAGCGGCTAGCGCAGTTAGCACACACTTAGTACGGCTACGTTACAAGAAGCTAACGTGCACGAAAAAAAAAAAGAAAAAAAAAAAGCCAAACAAAAGGTGAAAGGTGAAAGGTGAAAGTACCATGTCTACGGTTGCCTCGTGGGGACGCTTCAGTACTTTGGCGGCGGAGTGTGTCTTTAAAGCGGGTACAGCGAGCATGATGGTTTTTGGTTTTTTGGGGGGGGGTTTCAAGCGTTTAACAGACAGCAAGCAGAGGAGGAAGAGGAGGAGGAGGAGGAGGAGAGGAAAAGGAAAAGGAGGAGGAGGAAGAGGAGAGGTGCAGGGCGAGGGGCGAGGGCGGGCGACCATGGAGGCACAGCATTGCATTGTGGGTAGGTGAGAAAGGGAGGGGAGAAACAAAAAAACAAAACAAAAAATAATCTGAATGCAAGTATTAAACCACGTACAAACAATAGGCATGCACATAAACAAAAAATATTAAAGTCGTTCTGGTAAAAGTTAAAGCTGCACTGCGGGGGTTTTCCGGCGCGGGGGGGGGGGCTGCCGTCGGCTTGTCTCCACGGCGATGTTACTGCTTTGTTTGAAATGTTCCGCAGTATGGATTAGATTACTCCCAGATGTTTACAATGTGGAGGCTGCGTTTTCTTAAACAGCCACCAGAGGGCGCTCCAAATCAGTCGAGAATTTAACAAAACGGACGAAATAGTGATGTTATTGACGTTTTTCACAATGGCCGATTGGTTTTCTGTGGCAAAATGTCTGTGTAAATGTCCCGAGTATTCTATTATTCATCAAATCTTCATCCAACAAGGTCCACAAAAGATAAACATGAAGAATTTACCCACAACTATCAAGGGAAGAAAGACGAAAACTTAAAGGAAACAACGACAACGCATTAGTGAACTACTGAGCAAAACTAATGTTATGGTCCTGAATAAAACAGAAGTAACTTGTTCACTCAGACTGATTCTAGAATTAAAATTAAACATCGATTTCATGATGTGGATCAGGGATCTCCAACTTTTTTCTCCACTGAGCTTTACAAAACAAAAATGACAGTCAGCTTCTAATTTCAACCGTCGCAAAGAAACTGAGTAAATATAAGAGCAACGGCCTCAGGTGGGGAACAGTTCAGACGTGTCAAACTCAGGCCCGGGGGCCAAATTTGGCCCGTGAGATCATATCAAACATGCATTAGAGCTGGCTGCTGGCTACAGATCGACTATAGAGACATTATTTATTTAAAATGTTGTTATTATTTTATATTTTGCTTGTTCTGGATTCAATGTTTAAGTAAAACTATTATTAAATATTTATTTTAATAAGAAAATGTTGAACATTACATATCTCGAAAGAAGAGAAAACATGCAGATGTTACTGACATTTTTCAATAAATATTTAATTTGGCCCACGACTTAGTCACAGTTTTTAATTTTGGCCTCTGAATTTGAGTTTGACACTCCTGAATTAGATGCTTATAAAACATAAACCATTATCCATTTATCAGTGATCCCAGTCAGGCATCCAAATTATACATTATCAGTCGTAATGAATCAAATTTTACTTATTGTGCACAGTACATAGAATTCAGAAATCCCTTGGTGAGCGACTTGGAAGGAGGTGGGAAACCCCTGATGTCAATATGAGCACAGACAGAGAGATTTGTGCAGTTTAAATGCGAGACATGTAAACATCTGTGAACATCTGTAGCATTTAAACTGCACAAATCTGAATATCTATGTTAATATCCACATCATGAAATCCATTTTTAATGTGAATTCTAGAATCAGTCTCGGTTCACAAGTTACTTATTAATACATTACTTATTACTTCTGTTTTATTCATGACCATAACATTAGTTTTGTTCAGTGTGTCACTAATGCGTCGTCGTTGTTTCCTTTAAGTTTTCGTCTTTCTTCCCTCGATAGTTGTGGATAAATTCTTCATGTTAGAATGTTTATCCTTTGTCGACCTTGTTGGTTGAAGATTTGGTGATGGGACAGATTTATGAAGCTGCTGGAAAAAATACGTCAGACATTTTGCCACAGAAAACCATTAATGTAAGTGACGTTTATCTACATCGAGACACTTCCAGCCGTCGTGAAAAACGTCAATTAATTTGCTCGAAATGTTCCACAGTACGGCTTAAACTTTAGCCTTGCGAGAAAAATAAATTGTACAGATTTTTGTGAGTTGAAGCTGTGTCATGTGATTAAAAACTGATCAATCACAGAGCGGCACTGTGGTTTGAACGAAAATTTGCGCCGAACAAACCAAAACAAACACAGCGACGCCAACAAATTTTTCATTTTTAATTTGATTCTATTACTTTTTTAAATATATATTTTTTTAGATTTAAGTATTTTACACTTTTTATTTATTGTTTTATTTCTGATTTACTGCATTTTATTGTATTAATTTGTTTGTGCAGCACTTTGGAAACCGTCATGTTTATAAAATGTGCTGTAAATGACGTTCTCCAGTCGCCGTTTAATGCCGTACTGTGAAACATTCCAGATTGAGAACATCTCCACGGAGACAAGCCGGCGGCAGAAACGTCCTCCCACCAGAAAAATGACGCAATGCACCTTTAAACTGTTTCTGAATTAGTACATAAGCAGTAAAGCAACTACATCTGAGTACTTGGTTAAAACAGGCAAGATACTATGAAGATACTTAAGATACATAAGATTTGACACAAAAATAAAATAAAAATGTCCAAGTTTGACCAAATATATAATTAAAAATACCCAAAAATATCATAAAAAGAAGTATTATTATTGTTTTGAATTGTCAGTGGATGTTTGGTTAATAATAAACTAATATAAGTGATAAATGATTTCTAATATGAAAGGTCACATTGTTTTTTCCTTGAAGGATGTTTAGATATTAACCAGAACTAAACCAGGACTAAATCAGGACTAAAGCAGGACTGAACCAGGACTAAAGCAGGACTGAACTAAATCAGGGCTAAATCAGGACTAAACCAAGGAGTAAACCAGGACTAAAACAGGACGAATTCAGGGCTGAACCAGGGCTAAACCAAGACTAAAGCAGGACTAAACCAGAGATAAACCAGGTTTAGTCCTGGACTAAACCAGAGATAAACCAGGACTTAACTAGGAGTAAATCAGGTCTAAATCAGGGCCAAACCAGGAACTAAAACAGGACTAAAACAGGTCTAAACTAGCAGGACTAAATGAAAACTAACCAAGGACTAAATCAGTTCTAACCTAGAAGTAAACCAGGTCTTATAAAGGACTAAACCAGGACAAAACTAGGCCTAAACCAGGACTAAACCAAAAAGTGAACCAGGACTAAACCAAGGAATGAACCAGAAGTAAAAAAGGACTAAAATAGGACTAAAGCAGGATTAAACCAGGGCTAAACCAAGACTAAGCCAGAACTAAACCAAGGACTAAACTAGGACTAAAACAGGGCTAAACTAGAACTAAACAAGGGCTAAATTAGGACTAAACCGGGACTAAACCCAGTAGTGAACCAGGAGTAAACCAAGACTAAACCAGAGCTAAACTAGAACTAAAACAAGGACTAAACAAGGGCTAAAACAGGGCTAAACTAGGACTAAATCAGGTCTAAATCAGGACTAAACCAGAACTAAACCAGCACTAGATCTAATCGATACTCCCAACAGCAGACTGAGATCACACCCCACAAGACCAGGACTAAACGAGAACTAACCAAGGACTAAACCAGGGACTAAATCTGTTCTAAACTAGGAGTAAACCAGGACTGGTCTAACCCAGGTCTTATAAAGGACTAAACCAGGACTAAACCAGGACTAAACCAGGGACTAAATCTGTTCTAAACTAGGAGTAAACCAGGACTGGTCTAACCCAGGTCTTATAAAGGACTAAACCAGGACTAAACCAGGACTAAAACCCTTCTGACAGATCTGACACGACAAAACACTGAAGATTTTAAACGGTGCAATGAATGGATAAATTAATCTGAAATTTCTAATAAATATTTATGTATATTTTATGAAGTAGTAGTAGTAGTAGTAGCAGTAGTAGTAGTAGTTCTGTTTACTTCTTTAAACTAGTCCACAAAACAAAACAAAATACCTCCCAGATATAAATAAACTCATAACAAACACATTTTTACATACTTTCTCTTATAATTTCATGACAAAAACCATCTCATAAAGTGTATTTACTCGCCGCAGTTTTATCCAGTACTTTTTATTTGTTAATTTTTCTTCCCAACTGGCATTTCCTGTTTACAAAATGATAAAAAATGAACTCTTAAGATACAAAAATAGAACAAATTATGAGGCAGGAGACCAAGACGAGTTAAAAAGTGCTGCTCTGTAACAGTATAATGTGATTGAGTTAATAGGATTGAGCTTTAGTGTAATTCTATAGGTGACGTGTAAGATAATATGGAATAAACAGCACACTTTAGCCGCTCGGTTGGAGTTAAACCAGTTGAATTATGGGTAATGTAGTTTGCGTTGGGTTAAAATGTGTTCCAGGTCAAAGAAAATCTGAGTCTAACTGTGTTTTTATTGACAAATTGGGCGTTTTTTTTTTTTTTTTTTTTAAATGGCCGTATTATCCTGTTTACAACAAAGTGTGGAATAAATTTTAACTTTTTCTCTGGGTTTTTATGAGTCCGATCTGTTCTGGAGTTAATTTAACTTTTTTTTTTTTTTTGAAATGTTAATTAAGTAAAACTGGACCAAAGTTCATGTTTAACCCCAAAATCAAGAGTTATATTAATGTTTTGAGAGTAAAACAGGAAGAAACCAGAACTAAACCAGGACTAAACCAGGGCTAAACCAAGGACTAAACCAAGGAGTAAACCAGGACTAAACCGGGACTAAACCAAGGACTAACCAAGGACTAAACAAGGACTAAACCGGGACTAAACCAGGACCAAACCAGGACTAAACTGCAACTAAACCAGGACTAAGCCAGGACTAAACCAGGACTAAACTAAGGACTAAACCAGGACTAAACCAGAACTAAACCAAGGACTAAACCAGGACTAACCAAAGTCTAAACCAGGACTAAACCAGGACTAAACCAAACCAGACTAAACCAGGACTAAACCAGGACCAAACCAGGACTAAAGCAGGACTAAACTGCAACTAAACTAGGACTAAACCAGGTCTAAACCAGAAATGTGACATAGTGAAGCTTTAATAT